CGTGGCCGGTCGGTCTGCTACTGAATTTTCTGTATGCTTTGCTACATTTTCCATATGGTGCTCTGTGAATTTGGACGCTGTGTTGGTGTATGCCCTGGCCTGTTCAGGTTTTAGTGGTGATTGCGTCTCAGTAAATTCCCTTCCTGGCTCTCCTAATGCTTTTGGCCTCGATTTTCACCTTGTCTGACATTGTGTCACGCCAGTGTGTGTGGTGTTTGCCTGATGATTGTAGCTCGATTTTGTCGGGTTTTTTTTTTTTTTCTTATAAACTTTGAAATAATGTAGATTGACATAGAGTACCGGGAGTTCCTGTGGACTACTCACCCAGCTTCCTCTAATGAAAACGTCTTCCCTACCCCTAGCACAGTTACCCAAACCAGGACGTTGGCGTTGGTACAATACTCTCAGCTAAACACCAACCTTGTTTGAAGGCCACCGGTTTTTCTATAGCACTTGATTTTAGGCAAACTTAAGGCCAAGGGCACAGTCCTCCTGGTTGGCAAAGCTGCCCAAGCCTTCTGATACCCACTACTAGTTCAGAGCGTTCCCAAAATTACCCTTGGGTTGGACAGTTCACTAAAAAGAACTCACCGAAACCCACTGTACTGTTGGTCAGGCTTATTGACAGGGAAGGGTACAAATCAGAACCAGCCAGGGGTAGAATCTGAGAGTGTTCCACGAACAGGGCTTCCAGGCCTCCTCCCCCTGAGTCCTTCTAGAGAGTCACCAAGCCTGAGGGTGGCCTTGGGGACCTCCGGCACCAGCCCTGTGAAACTTGATCTCGTGTATAGATTCATGTGACCATCACCACTGTTGATGTGAACTCTTCCATAGCCCCCAAAACTCCCTTCTGCTCCCCTGCTTATAGGCACGCCCTGCTAACCCTGCATCCTGGTGGCCTCTCCTCCATTCTCCGTCACCCTTATTGTCACTTAGAGAATGTTAGGTCAATGGAACCATACAGCACGTAACCAGTAAGACTGGTTTCTGTCACTCGGCATGATAGCCACGAGACCAACCCAGGATGCCACGTGTCCGTTCCCATGTCCGCTCTTTCTCATGGCTGGGGAGTTGTCCATCGTGGGGGTGCTCCCGAGTTCCTCCATCCGTTCCCCCACAGAACGATGTTTGGGCTGTTCTAAGATTTGGCTCGTACAGGTAAAGCTGCCCTGAGCATTCATGTACAGATTTTTGTGTGCACATGAGAGTCCGTACGTAGGACCCTAGGGCCTAGCATTGCTGGGTCACAAGCTAAGTGTGTTTAACCTGACGGGACGCAGTCAGCCTGCTCTGCAGAGTGGCCGTGACACGCACCTGCCCTCCAGCAACATGCGGGAGTTGCACCTGCTCCTGTCCTCGCCAGCACTTTAATAGGTGTGTAGTGTATCTCCTTGCAGGCTGAGGCGGAACATCATTTCCTGTGTTTATGTACCATCTGTACGTCCTCCTTGGTGAAGACTCAGGTCAAGACTTTTGACCTGTTCCTTTTTTTTTTTTTCAGTGTTAAATTTTAAGTGTTTAAAAATATCCTAGATTAAAGTCTATTTTTGAGTATGAGATTTGAAAATATTTTTTGTCCAGTCTTTTTTTTTTTCCAATTCTCTTAAATAGTGACTTTCCTGGGCAAAACGTTTTGATTTTTGATGAAATTCAATTAGCTTTTCTTTTTTCCTGGATTTTTAAACTATTTTTTTATTCAGGTATAATTTAGTGTTATATTAGTTGGAGGTGTACAATATGATTCAACAATTCTTATGTATTTCTCAGTGTTCGTTAAGTGCAGTGTACTTAAAAAAAAATTTTTAAATTCCAGGATAGTGAAGATACAGTGTGATTTTTCAGGTGTACAATATAGTAATTTGGCACTTCTGTACATTACTTTGTTCTCATCATGGTAAATGCACTCTTAATGCCCATCACCCCCAATCACCCCCATCGCCCACGCCCTCTGGTAACCATCAGTGTGTTCTCTGTAGGTAAGAGTGTTTTTTGGTTTGTGTCTTTTTTTTGTTCATTTGCTTTTTTAGATTGCACTTACGAGCAAAATCATATGGCATTTGTCTTTCTCTGACTTCACTTAGAATTACATTTGCTGGGTCCATCCATGTTTCTGCAGATGGCAAGATCTCATTCTTTTTAAAGATTTTATTAGAGGATGAGTACAGGGGTGGGGGCGGGGGGAGCAGGAGAGGGAGACCCCCCCTGCTGAGCAGGGAGCCCAGCACGGGGTCGATCCCAGGACCCCAGGATCATGACCTGAGTCGAAGACAGACGCTTAGCTGATTGAGCCACCCAGGCGCCCCAAAATCTCATTCTTTTTATAGCTGCGTAATACTCTCGGGGCCCCTGGGGGGCTCAGTCAGTTAAGCGTCCAACTCTTGATTTCAGCTCAGGTCATGATCTCAGGGTGGTGAGATCGAGCCCCATGTCAGGCTCCGTGCCGGGTGTGGAGCCTGCTTAAGATGCTTGCTCACTCTCTGCTTCTGCCCCCCTCCCCTGTGCATGTAAGCACGCTTGCTCCCTTGCTCTCTCTCAAAAGGCAAGATCTCATTCTTTTTCTGGCTGAGTAATATTCCATTGTGTATGTACTAACCTTCTGTATCCATTCATCTGTGGAGGGACGCGAGGCTGCTTTTATGTTCTGGCTATTACAAATAATGCTGCAATAAACAGAGGGGGGCAAACATCTTTTTGAATTAGTGTTTTCATTTTCATTCGTTCCTCAGGAAGTTAAAAACAGAATTACCATATGACCCAGTAACTCCGCTACAGTGTATTTACTCAGTTTCTCTTTTAGGGATGGTCTTGTGGGGTCAGGTCTAAGAACTCTGCCTAATCCTAGATCCCAAAGATTTTTTTCCCTGTTTTTATTCTGGTTTTGATCTGTGGCTCATTTTGAGTTAATTTTTGTGGAAGGCATGAGGCTTGAGTCGAGGGTGGCTCTTTGTGCTGTTCCAACACCATTTATTGAAATGACGATGTTTTCTTCATTAACTTCTGAATTGTCCAGAGTCACAACATTTCCTTTTTGGGGGAATGGTTTAAACTGCATCACTGTCCTTAGAAGTTTTGGGACTAATCAGATTACTGCATATTAATGTGTTGCAATAGTTTGTGGTTTTTCAAGGAATTGGTTTATTTCCTTGTTGAATTTCTGTGCCTGCGATTCTCAGTATTGCTGTTGGAGTATCTCGAGGGAGCTGTTGTGATCAACCACCTTCGTCCCTAATATTGGCGATTTGTATTTTTCCCTTGGATAAACCTCTAGCGAGACTGGCCATTTTATTGATATTTTAAAAGAACTAGCTCTTGATTTTTTTCAGAATCAAAAATCTTTGACTTCACTGATGTCTGCTGTTTCCTGTTTTTATTTTGGTGAATGTCCCTTTGCTGCTGAGGGGTGAGCATTCTATAAATGGGAGTCAAGCTAAATTGCTTAACGGTGTTCAAGTCTGCTATATTTTGATGAAAAGATGGTTCACATTCGGGTGTAGTCTGATTTGTCCACTCTACTTTATGGCCAGCGTGTTGGGTCTTGGGTAGGAGGATCTCACGTGTCCCTGGTAGTAGTCGTTATTTTATCTTTGACCTTGACAGTGTACTTTGGGTTGTTTTCTATGGTATTTAAGGATTTCTGTATGGTATTTATTAAGGATTAAGAGTCCTTTGTGTTGTTACTGCAAGTATCAGTCGACCCTGATTGTTCTTGATTATTTTTTAAGGGGCAGCATGGTGCTTGGAGGTGCCCCTGACTCCGAGCCACGGTGTGTGGCAGGCTGTGTGTGTGTGTGTGTGTGTGTGTGTGTGGAGGGGGGGGTGGGTGCGGTCAGGAGTTGCCAAGGCTTGGCAGCTGCTGAGCTGCTATCACCCCTGCCCGAATGGCTTCCTCTTGGGCAGCCCCCTCGATCATCTTTTTGTAGGGATGGCCCATGTGTGTCTCTTCCTTTAGCTCTGGTGTCATCAGCGGGGGTGGTTGAGGGAGGATAGTGACCCCCGGCCATGCATCTTCCTTCCAAGGATTCCGAACTTTGGGAGCTGCAGGGGCCCACTCTGACCTCCCTCTCCCTGGTCTGGCCCAGGTGTTTGTCACCACCCCAGGCAGCCCAGGTTTTGGGCGAGAAGGTTACTTTTCTGTGTCAATTTGGCTGGGCTGTGGTGCCCAGCTGTTTGGTCAAATACCAGTCTAGCTGTTCCTGTGAGATATTTTTTAGGTGTGCTTAAAATTTCAATCAATCAGTTGGCTTTGGATCACAGGGGTTGCCTCCATAACATGGGTGAGCCTCATCCACTCAGTTGAAGGTTTAAGAGAAAGGCCTGGGATGCCCGGGAAGGAAGGAGTCCCATGGCGGCGTGCTCCTGAGCTGCCAGCCCCCTCAGTAGCGTGAGCCAGTCTCTTAGAACACGGCTGTGTTCCTCCTCGTGCCCATCCTAATAACTGGGGCAGGGGCTGGTGGTTAACAGCTGTGGCCTCATTTCACAGACGCTGCTCCTCCGTGGTGGCTTCCTGCCTGGCTGCTGCCCTCCCTTACGAACAAACAAACAGTCCTGGCCTTCATCCTCCGGCAGCTGGGAAACGTGCTGGGTCCTGGGGCCCAAGGGAAAGGCCCTTTACTGTGGACCTTAGAGGACGGGGGCTTGGTTCAGGCCTCTCAGAGTTGGACCGTTGGTCGCCCTGGATGTGGTTGTGAACAACAGTCTTCGTGGATTTCCAGAAGTGGCATAAGGTTTCCCACGTGGTCGCTTGTAGGGAAAACGCGAACCAGGTGCGGGCCCAGCACTCCACAAAATGCCTCCAAGCCCCCACCTGACGGGTGAGGAGCCGGGGGCCTCAGAGCAGAAGCCGTGGCCCCTAGGCTGGCCCCACCCCCCCATCTTACCCATGATGGTTGATACAAATCACTGTGGTTTAATAAAAATAGCGAGGTGTTTCTGTGCCGTATGCTCCCAGCCCGTCTCCGAGGCCAGGGGCGGAGCCAGGTGAGGGGCCGGCCGCACGGTGTCCTAAGAGCACCCCTCTGATGAGGGGCTAGGGGAAGGGCCACAGTCACGAGAAAATAGAGATTTAGGGATTTTTACACAGGTGGGGTCCACTAGATGTCTTCTGGGTGAGTCTGGGCTTTCTTGGCTCTGGAGAAGAATTTTTCACATAGTTTGAGGAGCTCTGACAAAATGAACACAGATGAGGCCAATCCAGTTAAAAGCAACAAATCTGCCAAAAGGGGAAAGGAAAAAAGGAGTCAGCACAGGTTGGCCTCTGCCCACCAGCCTGCGGGAACCTCGGCCCGGAGCTCCTTTTCCTCCATTTTGTCTTTAGTCACAGAGACCCCAGAGGTGAGCGGGGAGGACCCAGGAGCTGCGGACCAGACCTTTCCCTTCCCAGAAGCAGATCTCAACCCAGTGCGCACGATGCGGCAGAGCAAGCTCCACCATGACCACCCTCTGTTTCCAGGTGGCTTTGGCGGGGGGCAGGTGTTACCCACCTCAGCTAGAACAGGGCCCTCATCCTCTTCTCATCCAGCGTGAGTGCAGATGCCCCAACCCCTGCTTCGGGCGCCCCGGCACCCCACACTGACTCGTTCCAGTGGGTCAATCCCTGGACCTTGCCCTGACCCCATAGAACCTTCCCTGGCTGCCCGTTGCCACTGGGGGCAGAATGAGCCCAGACTTGCCCCCCACGGTGCAGCCCCGGGGCCTTGCTGTATATGCTCCGAGCCGCCAGCCTTGGCACAAGGGGGCCAGGAGGCCGCGGCCCCCACTGCCCGCAGTGGTCCTCCTGGCCGAGGTGCCTCTTCCTGTGGTTCCCCGTATGCTCCTCCCCCACCACAGTGCGCTCCCACTCCGTGCCCACCACAGGGCACAGGCGGGGGGGCAGGTGCTGACCCCTCCCACTCACCGAGTGCGCCCAGGTTCTCCGTCTGGAAGATCTTCTGCAGGGGCGGGATGTAAATCACGGCCAGCTGCCCCAGAATTGACCCCAGCACCGAGTACAGGAACATGGGGTTCCGGAGAAAACCGATCTCAAATATCAACTTGGTCTGCGGGAGGAGGAGGGCACGTGTCGGCTCAGCGCTTCTGAGAACAGGATTGGGTCCTGCAGGGAAGGGAGGAGAAGGCAGCCCGGGGCTCACCTGAGAGCGGCAGGTCAAGGCGTTGAAGAGGTCGAAGAACACAAAGCAGGTGAAGGTCATGGTCGTGGTGCGTGGGGTGCTGGCCCTGTCCGCGGGGATCTGGAACCCAAAGGCATAGGCTGAGCGGGTCCAGGAGGGCTGTGCGCTTCCCGCAATGAACTCATCGTCCTCCTCGAGCCAGAGGGAACAGCAACTCCAGCGGTGGGCCTGAACTGCCCCGCGCGGAGCACCCTTACTGGGATCTGACCGGAACCTCCCCCTCGGGCTGGCAGCGGCTGGTGTAACAGGGGACATAGGTCTCAGGACCCTCCCCATCAACCCCGACAGCTGGGGGGGGCCAGCAGTTCTCCCTCAGGAATTTTGGCTGCCTCCCACACCCGAGCTGAAACCTTGCGCAGAGAAAGGGAACGTCCCTTCCTCCAGCAGGTGACCCTGTCTCCTGGGAGGGGACATTACTACAGCTTCAGCCCCTGAGCAGAACATCTCTTCCTGGAGGAAGATAGGGGACGGAGACCCTCCCTGGTTTGCGCACTGCTGCTCAGGACCTGAGGCAGGTCTCGTTCCCCTTGACCTCTCAGGGGCGGGCCTGGAGCCGCAGGTGAGAGAGACGCACATTCTCACCCAAACTTCTCCCTGCCTGGGGGAGGAGGTGGTGAGCCCTCCCTCCCTGGGCTTGTCGGCTGGACCAGGATTCTCTGCAGACTCCCCTGGTGGCGGGCGGTGCGCATGTGAGTTAGAGCCCGACTCCGGAGTCCTGGTGGAGGCCTAAGAATCTGCATTTCCCCCAAGGTCCTGGAGAGGTGGAGGCTGCGGTGGGGACCCTATGCTGAGGGCCACTGTGTGAGCCCAGGAGGGCCTGGGTCCCTGTCCCCACTAGGTGGAGCACACAGGCTGGAGGAAGGTGAGGCCTCACCTGCCTGGCAGGTGAGAATTTGGGAAAAAGCAGGGCCGCTCCTCTGGAGAAAAACAGAATCTGTAGGGGACCCTGTGTCCCGTCCCTCTTGTTGCACGTGGCACCTGCCCGGTTCTCCAGCCAGAGCACTGCATGTTGGCACGGGGCCACCAATAGGTGGCCCATAAGTTCCTGCAAATAATCCCCTCCAGGGAATAAACTTCCTTTCAGTAAATTTCAAGTTGTTGCCGTGAGAACAGAAAGCGGCATCGGGTCCCATTTAGAGTAAAATCTCGTTTCTTTTCCACACCTGGGAGGCCTCCTACCCTCCACCCCATCCCCCTCTGCGGACAGCGCCTGCTCCCCTGCCTTCCCTCGCTGACAGCCCCTGTACGTGTACACGCGTCTCCCCCGTCGGAGCCTGTGCCCCACGGCTGGGCAGGGACTGTCCACAGCCCCGGCCCCGAGTCTCGCACGTCAGGGGCTTCGCGAATACCGGCTTAATGAGTCGGGGAGGACTTGCCTCACCTCTTTCCAGAAGATAAAGAGGGTCCCGCTGATGATGACGGCAGCCGACAGGAGGATCTTAAGGATGAGGGCTCTACCGAGGATGGTGTCCTTGACGTTCCGTGGGGGCTGCTGAAGGGTGTCTCTGTCCACCGGCTCTACCCCCAAGCTGCTCGGAACAAGACATGGGGCGCCCTGACGTAAACCACTGAGAAGGGTCACTTCAGACAGCCGGGCAGCGGCTGAACAAGCACATCTGGAGCGGAGCACGAACCTTCCAGGCGCTCTGGTCAGCTCCACAGGCACGGGGGCGCTGGGGGGTTCGGAGAGCTGGGGCCCAGCGCCTCCCGGCTGTCCACGCAAGCCGGGGCCCTCTCTGTCTGCATTGGAAGCCTCCCCTCCCCCCCCCGTCCCCTCCCTAACAGCCCAGCCCCTTCCATGGTGCGCACCGCCCCCTCCCCCCCCCCAGCCTGGGCCCCACGGGCAGCCCTAGCCTCCACCCATCCCTGAGCTCAGTGAAAGAAAACCTCCCCCAGCGTTGCCCACACCACGGTCCTGGAACCACCCTGCGTCCCCCCAGCGCGCTGGAGAAATGGGATCCACCACAGAGCCCCTCACTGAGCAGACTGTGAAACAGCGGGGTTGGGGCTACAGCAGCGGAGGGTGGTGGGGGGGCCGTGGGGGGGGACCCCGCTTCACTCCTGGCCCCATTCCCAGCATAAAAAGAGGACTCTTGCCCTTGGCAGCTGTAACTGGTGATACTGAATATTAATAATGTAATATGTATCAAATATAATCAGATGAAACAACACACACTGTGTGCCCCGGTAGAGGTCATTCTCTCTCCTGGGGACAGTGACTGTGTTTGCACCCACACTCTGTGCAGGGGCCCGAGGCTGCAGAGGGGGGCAGCCTGGTGGAAATGGCGCAGTTTCCCGGCCAGCCCGGAGCCTCACCTCTGTGCTGGTGGCCCGTCCATGATGATGTTGATCCACAGGATCTGCATGGCGTTGAGGGGGCTGGGCAGGTTGCACACAGTGGACAGAGTGATGAGGCTCAAGGCTGAGATGCTCCTGCGGGGCACACACAGGGCATGGTCGATGGCTGCTTGCGAGACGGGCGCACAGCACCTGACGGCACTAGGAGCCGCTGGCCTCGACTTACGTGCTCAGCTGAAACCGGACGAAGTTTTTGATGTTATGAAAAATCCCCTTGCCTTCCTCCACCGCATTCCTGCAAGAGAGGAGAAAGTGTTTATGCACAAAGATGGCCCTGGTGGAAAGGTTCAGGCACCTGCGTTAGCCGCGACAGGAAGCGATGTCACCAGAGATGGCCTCGTGCTTGGGCACCACTTCTGTTTCCCCTCGCTGCTCCAGGCCATGCCCACGGAGGACAATGATGTCCTGACCGGCGCCCTCGGGCGCTCCCACCCCCAATTACTTCAATTCATTTATGAGGAAAGACTTAACTAGAACAGATTAAAATTAGATCTAGAGGGCAGGCAAATTTTTTTTTTAAGAAAACAGAAAAAAGTGAAGAAAACAGGTGCTTTGTCATCCTGGCAGCTCGAGATCACATCAGCAATGCAGACATTCCTGCCTCATCTCCGTCAACGCGTGAAACATCCGTGTTGGTGCAAACACGACCCTAGACTCAAACCACGCATATTCACTTTTAGTGGTTTTTACTTAACACTACAATGTGAGCATTTCTGTGTCTTTGATACATCCCTCAAAACATCATTTTTAATAGCCTCGGAGTACTCCTGCTCTCGCTGTTGGCAGCTAGGGTAGTCTAGGGTTTCCCCATAAATGGTGCTGCAGCGACCGCACGGGCATGTGCCTCCATCTGCGCACCTGATCCTGGCTCTCCCGCCAGATGCACCCTCGGGCTGCAAGTAGGGTCTGTTGCACGCGTCTGTAGCATCCCCCCCAGGTGCTGTGTGCGCCTGGGACACCCGTATCTCTAGCAGAACAGATTTGGTGGGTGGGCAGCTGGTTAGGCCGGGCATTTCTGCCACTAAAAAAAACAAAACACCTACGGAGCAACTTACATGATGGTTGAGAAGTCATCGTCCACGAGGATCATGCTGGCAGCCTCTTTGCTAACGTCTGTCCCCGTCTGCCCCATGGCAATCCCGATGTCCGCGGACTTCAGGGCAACCGCATCATTCACCCCGTCCCCTGTCATGGCCACGATTGCCCCTGATTCCTGCAAAGCCTTGGTAAGGAAGAGGCGAGTGAAGGTTGCAGCCCTTCCAGAACCTTGCTTCTCTCTGGATGCTCTGCCTCTCCCACCGCATGGCCAACAGCAGAAGCCCCTCTCTCGAGTCAGCTGGCTAGAGTCTGAATCCCAGCCCCACCTGCACCAGCTGTGGGAATTGGGCAAGCCCTGAACCTCTCAACCTCAGCTTCTCCATTGGCAAAGTGTGGGCAACTGTCCCTCCTCCCCTGAGAGCTACAGTAAGGCCGCGGGTGTGAGGCTCATGCATGTTGTCCATCTCCATTAACAAAGAAAAGTCACCTTACCCCTGAAACCATGCGGTGCCCAGTAAGTACTAATGTTTTCTCTTAGGAATACCGCGCAGAGAGATTTGCTCCCGAGAACTAAAACCCCCCCAAATAGCATAAAGGATAAAACGGCCCGGAGCTACAGAGCACATCTTCCAAGCGCGTGCAGGTGGGAGGCCGAGCACAGCAGCAGGGCCCTCCTCCCCGCACGACAGAAAGCCACACCCGTTCTCGGCTGGGCGCCCGCTGTGTGCCAGGCGCTGCACCAGGCACTCCAAGGCCTGGCCTCCTCTCATCCGCTCACCAGCCTTGGGAATTAGCTGACATCATTCAAACTAGCCTCCGTTTACAGATGGGGAAACTGAGGCCTGGAGGTAAGTAATGAGAATGATGCCAAAGAGCACTCGGCTAACAGAGGCTATCTGCTTTTTATTTTTCTCTCTGCACTACCCAATCCCCGCTCCTGTTTTTGGTGTATGTGGCAAAGGTCCCCCTGTTCTCCTCCCCACGGTTTGAGGACGGCCGAGGCTCCCGCCAGCTTGGGCCCTGGACCAGCCCTAGAGCAGAGCCCTCCATCGTCCTGGACTGACCCTAACAGACAAATGAGGCACCCAGCTTACCTTTATGATTTTGAGCTTGTGCTTTGGGCTGGTCCTGAAGAACACAGATACCTGGACACAGAGGCACAGAAGAGCAGAGTCCCATGAACTTGGAGCTGAAACTCCCCCCTCCCCCGCAATGAAACCCCCTGGGAGGAGCCCACCTTTCCGACGCGGTCAGTCAGCTCTTCCTGCTCCATACTGTCCAGCTCTTCCCCGGACATGGCTCTCAGCTTCCCGTTGCAAAGGCCAATGTTCCTTCCTGCACGGGGTGGAGAATTCGTTCTGAGCACTTGCTCCCAAGCCTGAAACCGCTCCCGCGCCCGCCCCTCACTGCCCCTGCCTGCCCCCCAGTCCCTGCCCGGGCCACAGAGAATGACAAGAAGAAAACCATGATGGCATCATGCACTGAGCACCTGCCCTGTCACATGATCTCAATGCCATCCACGCAATTAACTTGCAACAGAGGCCCTGTTATCCCTGCTTTAAAGGCAAGGAAAGGGAGGGCAGGGACTTCCCCAAGGTCACAGAGCTGGTGAGGGGTGATGCTGGAACCAGATGTGGTTTTGTCTGATTCCAGAGCCTCTGATCTTTTCTTGGGGCTGGGTGCCTTGAGATAGGGCAGGGAGCAGACCAAGGTGTGACACCCTCATTATATCAGTAAGTAGAATCACAGGAGGGCTACTGGCCCTTTGCGGGCGAAGAGCCTGGAGGTCAGAGTGGTTCAATGACTTGTGGGCACATGGCACGCGGCAGAAGCCAGCCCAGAAGTGAACACCAGGAATGACGCTGCCTGGGAAGAGGAAGCGAGCTTGGGGATAAAGGCTCCCAGCACGCGGGAGGTTGTCAGTGGGCACTAAGGCTCTGCCCCCTTCGGAGGACCTGCCAACATTTTAGGGCCAACCGTGTGAAGGTGGAGCGCTGGTCCTCGAAGCTCACAGTCACCGTGCGCAGTCCCAATGAGGACCCACAGGCCGCCCGCTCTCCCCGCTTACCTATGGCGTAGGCGGTCTCCAGGCCGTCGCCCGTTATCATCTTCACCGACACGCCCGACTGACAGAGCACCTGCACTGCTTCCTTCACGCCAGCCCTCGGAGGGTCGATGATCCCGACGAGCCCCAGGAAGGTCAGCCTCCCCAGCTCGGGCCCAGAGGCCAGGGCCAGCACTGAGGAGACACCAAGAGCCACAGAGGGTCCACCGGGGGCCGAGGGCCGTGAAGTCCCCAGTCAGCCCGGCCCCTCCACATCCCTGATCCTCCTCTGCCTGCGCGGGGCTCCCCGGGGCTCTGGATGGCTGGCCCCGAGGTAGAGAGAAATGTAGAGACAACCTGACCACCAGAAAGTAAGACTTTTGTCCGCTGGTGGTATAAATCCCAACCACACCCCAGAGGGTGTGTTGAACCAGAGGGACCAGAAGGAAATCTGCGAGCTGACGTGCAATGGCACAGTCCGAATGGCTCTTGTCTCTGCTGTTGCCACCTGCCCTTGTAGGGGAGCAGCTGCAGGGGAAGAAAAGGTGCAGGAGGGCACTACGGGGTACAGGCTCTGTGTGCTGGCTTGTCCTGGCCTTGATTCTGGGGAACCAGTGCTCGCAGAGGGGGTGTTGTGAGAATGACCTTACTTTGTCACTTTCCTGATACCGGAGGGGCCGTGGTGCCCTCCTCCCTTTCCCAAAGCTACCCTCCCCACCCTGCTTGGCTCCATCTCAGCAGACTGGGACATCCTCACCTTGTACGCTTGTCAGCAAGCTGCTAGCAATTTATCATGTCTCTTTCCTGAAGGGAAAAACCAAGGCAACTGGCACCCAGCCCAAAGCTTCTCATTTTCCCCAGAGAGAGAAGACAAGGGTTCCAGAATGTTTTTAAATACTTCCTCCGACAATGGACGGGCTGACAAATGGCACTCTGGGAAACGTGAGCTTTGATGTTCGGCTCGTCAGGGGAGGTGTTGCCCCTGGTGTGGAAAACTGGAAATGGCCAAGGAATGAAATGTCTGCCTTGATTTCAAAGAGCTTTGGGTTTTCCTGATGGTAAGCAGTGAGCAAGAAGACCAATGAGGAAAATCAGTGTTTCTGGTACACCTCATTCATCTGTCTTAGAAACGTCAGCAGGGAGGCACCAGCCTTTCTCACACACATGAGCTGCGTCTGGACTAACAGGTGTCATTTGGTGGCTGGGCTTGCTGGGGGCGGGTGGGGGGGGTGGCTGTCTGTCTTTCATCTGCCCATTAATTCCCCGTTTGCCTTACTTTCATTAGCACACCACCCGACTGCTGCTCTGATCAATCCCTTTACTAAGAACCCTGCATCAATGCACTTTAAAGTCAGTGGTGCACTTGAACTTAAAGCTCGGGGCTGGGGACCAAAGGTACTGACCACGCAAGCCAAGCGACCCCATCCTCTTCTCTTCCTGCTGGCAGAAGGATCTCTGTTGGGGTGTCAGTGGCAGGGGGATGCCTCCATTGTTGTACATGGTACAGTAATTAATCACTTCTTCAAAGGCCCCCTTCATGAAGTAGATGTCTTCCTGGTCCTTGGAAAAGAAAAAAAGTCCGCTGTCATTGGATGCTTCAGCTCTTAGTGACCGTCACCTCGTGCACACAGTGATGCTCATGGTGGGGCTATTTCTAGTGGACCATTATTGCTCACCAATACAGGATGGGTTAGATAAATTACAGGAAAGCCACATGACAGAATACTACACAGCCCATAGAAGGATGGAGGTGGATCTTTGATCTGCACCCGACTCTATGTGAAGTCCCTTGTTAATGTCAGTGCATTTCACGAACCGGTCATCCCCCAGGCACCGTTACACCTCTATGTGTGGGATTGTGTGCTAGATGTCTATTTAACGGGCAGGTACCGTTTCTGTTGTGCTCACCGCTGCACATGGCTCATAAAAGGGAACACAAACAAGCCCCTAACTGTTTTCCTGGGTATTTAAGCTCCGTCTCCTGTAGATGGTAAGCTCTGGGCAGAAGGTGCTGTGCCAGTGTGGGTCACACTCTGTCCCCAGCATTAGCACTGAACCTGAATGCTCACGGTGGGCAGGGAATGAGCTTGTATGAACGGGATACAGAAAGATGTCTAAGACATCACCGTAAGGGGAAAAAAAAGCAAATTACAAACACTATCTACAGCACGACCTAGTTTTAAAACTACCACCCCATATGTTGCTATGTGCATATTTAGAACCTGGAATATTCCATCCTAGACTGCTGGGTCGGGGAGGGGGGGTGATGGGTCAGGAGAGAAGAGGGGCAGAGTTATAAGGAGCTCCCATTTTTAAAGTCACACTTCCATAATTTTTTTCAATGAGGATATATTACTATTGTCTTTGGAGAAAAAAAGATTTGAAGTTATTAAAACATTTAAAAAATCTGTAACCCCTTTTAAGCAGAGAGTATTTGTACACCCATCTACTCATGGCAAAGGCCTGCAACGCGCTGGCCAAGCCGCCCACTGCCCCGAACAACAGAGGAGGAATCTCAGCACGGGCAAGATGTGACAGGTTCCAGAAAGAATAGGAGAGAAGTAAAGGGCTGGAGAAAAAGGTGGAAAGCAATACAAAAAAACTTAAAAAAAAAAAAAAACCCTTTTATTGTAGAAGATCTGAAAAGCTACAGAAGGTTAAAAAAGAAAAAGAGGGGAAAAAGAAGTCAGCTGTCATCCCCAAGCAGGGTAGCCATGAGTAGTTTGGTGCATGTTCCTCTGGTCACTCAAACCAGGTGCACACACATGCGCGTGTCTATATGTACCCATGTGATGCGTGAGCTCACTGTTCACACCATCTGTGCTGGGTGCTGGGATGTGCCTCCTGATCCCCCTTCAGGAAGGAAGGACTGTCCCCACCTGGTAATGATCAAAGGTGCTCGTACCTGTAAAGAACTCAGCACCAGGTGTGAAAAAAGGACCCCCAAGGTAGCAAGGGGGGGGTGGTCACTGTCAATGGTAGGAGTGTGCATCAAAATTCCCAGCAAACACAAGTTACTGGCTCTACTCCTGATTTTCTTTTTAAAGATTTTCTTTTTCTTTCTTTCTTTCTTTCTTTCTTTCTTTCTTTTCTTTCTTTCTTTCTTTCTTTCTCTTTCTTTCTTCTTTCTTTCTTTCTTTCTTTCTTTCTTTCTTTCTTTCTTTCTTTCTTTCTTTCTTTCTTTCGTTATTTATTTGAGAGAGAGAGAGAGATTGCGAGCAGGGTGAGAAGCGGAGTGGGGAGAGAGGGGAAAGAATCTCAAGCAGACTCTGCGCTCAGTGTGGAGCCTGAGAGAGGACTCGATCTCATGACCCTGAGATCATGATCTGAGCCAAAACTGAGAGTCAGATGCTTGACCAAGAAACCACCCAGGAGCCCCGCACTCCTGATATTTCTGACTCTGAGGTTCTGCGTGGAGCCTGAGAATCTGCATTTTTAACAAATTCCCAGGGGATGCTGCTGGTCCAGAAACCCCACTCTGGGAACTACTGTTTCAGACAAAAATCTCAGAAGAGAACCCAAGATAATCAATGATCTAATTGCTATCAAATGTATTTTCATGTATTTGAAACTTCATAGAAGCTAGGAGCTTTAAACTCTCCTGCTTGCTGCCTACATTTTCGTTCCTTTGGGTGTAGGGGAGAGGGTGGGAAGGGGCAGAGAAGCAAACTCACCTCATTCTTGGGGCTGCACTTTACTGCCATCCATTTCTGCTCCGAACTGAATGGAATCTCTTTTTTTCTCACGTACAAATCTTTAGTATCACTTAAGTCCATCTAGGATAATAACATGCAAACTCCCAGAGAGTCATCCTAAACCAATCTCTATGCAAAGCTCAGTCCACTTAAATTATTCATGATTCAAACCATTTCCGGCAGATGAGAAATCCAAGCTCACAGAGAAAGGCCATTTGCTTTCAAATGAAATGTCCCACCCGGAGAAAAAAGGTCTCATTTCTCTTGTTCAGGGACAGAACCAGCTTGGTCTTTGTGATAGCTTCCGGCACCCCACCCCACTGCCCACCCCTTTGGCATCCAGGGGTAGCCATTCTGCACGTGGCACTGGGCACAGAGTGGGGGCGTTTCTGCCAAGTCCCAGACTCAGGGTCTGACCTCAGAGTCCTGCAATCAGTCGAATGTGCTAAAAGGAAGGGGTCTTTCCTGGAGGGGGGCTCAGGGGCCGCCAGGTGGGTTGCATTCCTCTGTCTCCCCAGCACCTCCATGGGATGTGAGCCACAGGGCACCCGAGGATTCGTATGGGATTGCCAGGAAGGGTGGCATGGAGAATGTTCCAGAACCACATGGCATGTCAGTGACTGCCCGAGGACGTTTGAGGCCACTCTCTCCCGTTATTACTAAGCTTCCCCATTCCTCATCTGCTCAGACACGAGCTCAAATTCTGCCACTAAGTCAACCCCAAGTGCAAGAACTCCCAGTGCAGACCATCAGAGGGTCCCTACCTTCATGGCCAGGGCGATCAGCGCACCTTCTGTGGGCTGTCCCATCACGGCATTTTTTCTGATGATGGCGTTGTTGGCCACACAGCCTGCCTGAAAGGGAGGATTTCTGAACGTCTGCAGTTAATATTCGGAGCGGGCACCCCTTGGGGTCCTGGGCTCACTCATCCACGTGAAAAAGTCACATGCTGAAGGCTTGACCTATTTTGGGGGCGGGGGCTGGGGTGGGGGTGAAGGACAAGATCCACTCCTCAAAGTACATCAGAGTCCCCGCTCTTCAAAAGAAACACCGTAAATATTTACTGATTCTGCTAAGCGCTGTCACAAGGCCCTTGTAAGGCGGTATCATGGGGGGTGGGGAGGCTGGGGTGATGGGGTGACTGCTAATGGGTACGGGTTTCTGCTTGGGGTGATGAACTGTCCTGAAATTAGACGCAGCAGTGGCTGCCCAACTTTGTGAATGTACTAAAGCCACTGGACTAGTACAATTTAAAGGGGTGAATTCTGTGCTATAGGACTTACATTTCAATAAAAAATGATAATTAAAAAAAGGAAAGAAACACACAAAAAGAGCGTGGGGGTGAATCCCGGCTCCCTCCCTCACTGGCTGGGTGATCCTGGACACTCTTGTCACCTCCATGAGCCCGTTAGACAACATCTCGATCTGGACCTCAGACGGCACCCCGCGTGTGGGAGGGACAAGTCCGGCTAATATTGCTCATATCGACAACGCAACCCGGCTCACCGTCCAACCTTCGTTGAGTACCTTCTCTAGGCAGGTGTCTCTTTAAAGCTTTTCCAGCAGGTAGGGAGGACAGAGAATATAGCTCTCCTCTCACCTCCAGGGTCTCCACCTGTTTCTGGGCCACTGGGACACCTGACCCCCGGGGGTGTGGCCCAGGTGTCGCCAAGAACCAGCTGGCCCTCTCTTTAGGGCGAATCCCCATCAGTTCCTCCTAAATGTGTATTTCCACCATGGGGCTTTTGACACTCACCTCTACTAATTTCCCCACCGAGACGTTGCTGAACTCCTTAATGACTTCCTTTGAGGGTAACAGACAGACAGTCCCTTTGCCATCATACCCAACTCCGCTGACCTGCAGGGCAAAGCCGCAGAGAGGATGTCACCACGCGTCAATAAGACCCTTCCCCCCGGGGTTGTCCTATCATCTCTTTTCTGGGGGACCCACCCCAGGGACAGACTCCTACCCACAAACAAGGCTTTAAGCATGAGGATGTTCCCTGCACGTTCAGAAAACCTCAAAAAGGGCCATGCTTTAGAAACTGCAGAAAGCTTCCTCAACGGGATATTCAGCAGCCAGGGAAAATTGTGCTTCAGAAAACGGAGTGATAGCACACAAGAGAGCTTACGTTCTAGCACAGAGCGGGGCAAACCTTCTCCTAGGGAGCCAGAGAGCAGATGTGTAAGCCTTTGCAGCCCACGTGGCCTGTCAGGGCCACGCTGCCCTGTGGCTGGGGCACAAAGGGAGCCGTCGATGGACAACATGTAAACCAAAGGGTGCGCCAGCTGGCCGGCAAAATTCTATCTACGAAAACAGGCCCTGGCCCGTGAGATGTCACTGCTGACACCTTAGTCTGGAAGTTCTGTGAAATGCCCCGCAGGATACACAAGCACGTTCCGGGGGCTTGCGACTGTGCCAGAGGCACAGGGGAGAGACTGAAAAACCCCAGGGGACCATCATGGTTAGTTTATCACAGGCTGTTACGGGCAACTGCTTCTTTGCTTCTACGTCATGTAACGAGATTATTATTAAAAGATAATCGCAAAAAAATAAAGTTGGCTCCCTTAACTCGGTCACGTTCCTTCCTGCTGTTTGTAGCAAGGAAACTGTACAATAACCCATTTTTGTCTCTTCCTTATTGCTTTCCAGAAGATTCCGTGTACTTTTAGGAAGGAAAAGGTCCGCGGCACGGGGCTCACCTCAGCATGGAGCCCATCAGACGTCACCAGCTGGGTGACGGTCATCTCATTGGCGGTCAGCGTACCTGTCTTATCCGAACAGATGACACTGCAGCAACCTGGCACGAGGCAACCCCAGTTCAGAGGAAAGAGAAACCAGCACTGTTCATCCTCAGGCTAATGAAACAGCCCGGCTGAACGGCCACTCCTTCAATCCCATTTACAAGATTCCAACCAGCAGAGTCCCTTACCTAAGGTCTCCACGATTGGTAACTTCTTCACGATGACGCGCTTCTTGGCCATCCGCAGCACTCCCAGGACCAGCGTAACCGTGACGACAATAGGCAGACCCTCGGGAATGGCAGCCACAGCCAGGCTGGATCAAAAGGCCAGATGGGTCACCTTTAACACATGCACTGAAGGAGGACATGAATCCCAACTGGGGTCGCCAACACTTTGACCTGGTGAGGCATGTCTCTGGTGTCCCCAACATCCCCGTTCTAGTCTCTGTTCCCAATCCCATGATGCACCCGTCTCCTCCAGCATCCACGGCTCTGAGTTCTCCTGTTGCAAAACCCTGCTCTTGGGAATGGACCTCCCCTATCAGACGTCCACACTATAGCATAAATTAGTCCCTCGGTTGTTTTGCCTCTTAAAGCACTTTTGCACTTAAATTACTATTGTTTATTAGAGAGAAAGGCTTTTGGGTCCTATGAAAGAAATTTCCAGAATTAGGCAGTAAGTGGTATATATAATTTTTTGGTTCAGAGGATCCTCCCTGACTCCCCTGATTTTCACTTTCCACTGGTCTAGTTGTTTAGACGCTTCTGGTAAGGAAGCCAAACGAGGAAATTAAGGTTGAAGGGAGGTAGAGTGACAAAGCTGTGCCTTTGACTATTGTAGCAGAGCCATTTGGGTGTCCGTTCGTTTCATCATTATCCTTCCAACTCTTTCCGGACCGTGACCCCACCCTCACATAGCCACGGCTGATTGGTTTAGAAGACAACATGTGATCCCAGCTGAACTAGTGAGCTTCTCTCTTGGGAATCTGAATTGGGATAAAGAGGGTGGATCCCTTCTTGTGGGAGGTTTGTCAACAGGTGATGGGATGTTAGGGAGGGGCTCTTTCTGCCTCAAATTCGGTTCTAGAACATCATGGCAGACTGATTTCCCATTCCACACCCCTGAGCAGTTGCAGTGGGGCTTCCGGCTGACCTCAAGCCAGTGGGGGAGGCTGAAGTTTTAGGGCCAGACTGGAGAGGGTGCCTCTGTGCAGAGCTGTGGGTGAGCGCGGCCAGCCACACCCCACTACGGCTCACCCTCTGCACCAGGACATCCAGCAAAGCCCCGTAGGCATTCAGCAAATATTTGCTGGACAAACAGATAGGAATGAGTGAATACAGGCACGCCTCACAGGTACTGTGGGTTCAGCTTCAGACCCTCACAATAAAGCGACTGTCCCAATACAGCGAGTCAGATGAACCTTTTGGTCCCCAGTGGCCATAAACGTTATGTTTATATTGCACTGTCATCTATTAAGTGTGCAAGAGCATCATGTCTAAAAACCCAATGTGTAGAATTTAATTTAAAAATACTTTATTGCTAAAAACTGCTGACAATCACCTGAGCTTTCAGCACACCGGGGCACTGATCACAGATCGCCATAAAAAATGACGACAATGAAAACATCTCAGATATTGCGAGAATTACCAAACTATGACAGAGATGTGAAATGACCTAATACTATTGGGAAAAATGGCCCAATGGACTTGTTCAACACAGGCGTGCTACAGACCTTGACATGGTGAAAAACGCAGGATCTGCAAAGCACCATAAAACGAGGGATGCCTGCACCTATACAGCATGGGGCTAGAGTCGCGCCGGCCCAGCACACGGCGAGTGTCCTACGGGCTTGCCTCACCGTCAGAAGGCCTGGCTGTGTCGCACATGGCTATCCTGTTTCATCTAAGCTAAGACATGGCTGATGGTGAAGGGTACCACTCAGAAAGAAAAAATGCTGCCAATTAATTAAACACAGGGCGCTCTCTTGTCTCCTCATTTGTAAGAAGCAGTCTGTCCTCAGGGAAGTGTGAAAAAAGAAAGTGCGTCTTAGAATCAAAGAAATACAGTACATGAATGGAGGCCTTTTCTCTGGAAACAATGGAACATTCAGGGGCAAGTTCTATGAACCAGGATTACTGAATTTGGTCAAGGGGCTGTGCCCAGTTTCTATGGTGACAGCAAGAAGGCTTCCTTGGTTTTATGGCACAGGTTGACAAGACTAGCTAAGCAAACATTTGCAGAGGGCTAGCACGAGGACTTTCCCCCCATATGGTGTGGGAAGGGCGTTTTTACAGGTACTTGGATGCTTGCATGATAATAAAAAATTGATCTACAAACTAAGAGATTAGCATGGGCCAGGAAAAACGAGTGTACTTTGGATCATCTTGAATGTCACTTGAGGCAGAGGGAATTAGGATAAAGTGTTTAAAAGACCAATTCTCAAGTTACTGCTTTTGGAGAATCTCTTCCTCACTAGCGATCCTGCTATTTCTACCTTCTGATTCAGTGATTTCGAGCAGCTGACTCCGCTAAAAATGTTCATCTTTGCAAAGTCACAAGTGAAACGGACAGAGTAAATTTTCTCTGGATGGCAAGCGTACCATGGATCTAGTGGGAGAAGTGAGAGGGAAGGGACGTGGAGATCTGGAACCAGAAGGGACCAGCAAATGGTACTGGGAAGGGCGGGCAGGGAGGGTCATGGGGGCCTTTTCTGTTACTTATCTGAAAACAGTCATCTTGGCTCATAAAGAACTTTCTATGGTTTATAAGGTGGGAATGGAAAGTGCCATTATTTGGGGGGACATTCTTAGGTGTCACGGCTTCTGAGTGCTCTGCTTTTTCTGGAAGTCCACCCCAGGGCTCAGGCTCCTCTGTCCCGCCTCCACCACACCTGCCTCTGAAGGCTTAGTCACCTGAGCACTCTTGTCAGGGGCTCAACCTTCTTCCCTGGCCCTGCCTCTTGCAGGAGCTGCAACTGGGCCACCACTTACAGCGGCGTTAGCACCCCAGGGAGCTTGTCAGGAATGCAGAATCTCAGCCTCTCCCCCACCCCAGACCCACCGAATCAGGGCACCAGTGAGCAAACTTTCGCCCGGACCCTCCCATCCTCAGGCTAATTCTGGAGACCCCTACTCTACACTGACCCACTCTTCCAGGATGCGTGTCCTGGCCTCGAACCCCACATCCCACAGCCAGCTCCCCATGCCCCCCGGGGCCCCCTCTCGGCTGCAGCCAGCTAGGGCTCACAGCCCTGTCACCTCCTGTGTCTATGTCAAGAATGGCCAACACGTTTCCAAAACAAGGGTAGCGATGGCCCAGCATGCCATGTGGAGGGCTCGGATGATGTTTTTTAGAATCAGGAGTAAAGGGACCCATAAGCGACTAGCGCTATGCGCCCTACCCAACTCCACTGTGTAGTTCTGCTCGTGGAGCCCAGCCAGTCCCTCCTGGTGTCCCCAGAGGCCCCCAGCTCGGTCCCACCCCCCACCGTGGTGGGACCCTCCCCACTGAACCCCCTTCCTGCCTTCTCGAGCAGGCTTCTCCTCGTTTCCGCTCCCACCCCTCAGAGCACCTTCCCCGGCCACCCTTCCAGGGCAGGTCTCTTCCTGCCCCCGCTTCTACTCTCTCTGCAGCTTTTTCTTTTGTAGCCTTGACTGTGAGCTATGATGATCTTATCAGCGTTCACTTGACTCGTTCACACTTACTTTCCCTACCAGCCCGAAAACTCTGATCTGGCTCCAACACCCTGGGTCAACGGGCGCTCAACGAGTATCTGCAGGGCCAAGGCCAGTGGCCGGGGGGCCAGCTAGGGGGTGGTGGCACACGGGAGAGTTCCTGCCCTGCCCCAGAGGCCGCGCTCGAGGGCACCACAGCGTGGGGTAGGCCGGCCTCCGCTCTGTTTAGGCCAACACACTTGCCCAGAGCCACAGAATCAGCCAGCAGAAGAGACAGTTTCAAACAAACCCACAGCATTCTGACCCAGGGCCAGGGTCCTGCTCCCCCATCGGCCCACCTTCCCTGCCGCCCTGGCGAGGCGAGGTCGGCGCTGTGCCCTTACCTGACCCCGATCGTGAACATGCTGAGGAGCTGCTTCCCTTGCAGCCAGCCAGTGAACATGATCAAGCCTGGGAAAGAGACAAGTGTATGTACGCACACACGCACGCACACATGTGCACACGCGTACATCCTCGGACATGCAAACGTGTTTCTAACTCATTCCCTTAAGAGTTTCAGGAATAGATGCATAAGGCGACGAGTAAGAACCTCGAGTGGTGTAACCATTCTCCTGTTTCTTTTTAAGACCTTCCACACCTGCAAAAAAGAATGGTTTCACTTTTTCAGGCAAGGACCAAGCCAGTTCAAGAAGGAAACGATCAGCCAGTTAGTTCCTCTTGGGCTGTTTGCAAATGTTTACAGGTGATCCCCACGCTCTCCCCAGGTGCCCCATGTGTGGGGACGCCCCCACGGTGTGGGATGTGGCAGCTGACAAGTGCTCCTGCTGATGCGCAGATGGGCCCGTTGCTTAGAGGACTTGCCAGAGAGGGACCCTCGGGTCACAGAAGGGGTGCGCGTCACGCTGGAACCCGTGAAAATGCACAGGACGTGCCGGCAACGGGGAGAAGTTCTGGGGCCGCCAGGTGCGGCCTCAGTGTCTGGATCTGTAACGTGGGGATAACGACCATGTCTTCCTCGAAGAGTTGTTTTGGGATTTAAGAGGCAACAATCCCCTCCAAGTGCTCAGCACAGCTCCTGGGGGCTGCTATTGTCTTTGCGGTCGGAAGAGGCGGGAAGGTGAGTGGAGTTGCCTGCTTCAGCCTCGGAGGACTTGCCAAGGAACAGCAGCTTCACATCACAGGGAACGGGGAGCCAGGGCAGGTTCTGTGCTGGGTGACAGCTGTGTGTGTACGTGTGTAGGGTGTGTGTGTGTTGGGGGGCGGTGTCACAAGACCTGATTTGTTAGGATTTTTTTCCATACAGTAATTAGTGGTGGTAGGCAAATGAAATCTCAGCTGGAACCCAAATGAATCCAGATGCAGAGACTGGAGGGGCAACTCTATTAGAAATAGGGGTGGGTGCTGAGCCTGCCGCCCCAGGCACTGGGCCCCGACCCTGCCCTGGAGGCCCCTGCCAGAAGCTGGAGCATGCCCACGGGACCCCCAAGGGCTGGCGCAGCACATCTCTTCCCAAACCCACACTCAGTGACGTCAGTACATGGGTGGTTTGAAAGTGGCCACGTGGAGGGTATTTACACCACGGAGCCTGGCAAACGTTCCTCTCCCGGGAAAGTCGGTTCTTAAGCACTGACCAGCCCACCACAGCTTCCCTGCATCTCCCCTGTGGGCCCTGCAGGGATCGGCGGAACCCAGTTCCAAAACGTCCACAATGCTAGAGCAGCTCTTAAAATATTTATTAAGGGCACCTAGGTGGCTCAGTTGGTTAAGCGTCCGCCTTTGGCTCAGGTCATGATCTGGGGATCCTGGGATCGAGCCCCGTATTGGGCTCCCTGCTCAGCAGAGTCTGCTTCTCCCTCCCTCTGCCCCTCCCCGTTTGTGCACACACGTTCTCTCTCAAATAAATAAAATCTCTAAAAAAAAAAAAAGAATATCTTTGCTTGTGGGCCATACAAAAACAGGTGGCAAACTCATTTTGATCCAGGAGTCAGAGTTTCGAATCCCCGCACTAGAGAGCAAAAGAGGCCTCCGGGCAGCCAGGACCGTGTGGGCATTCTACTCTCCCAGAGATGTCTGGTCAATATGCAACCCCAAGGATGGCCAGTGAATGGCAAGGCATGGGCCTCATTCCCCACCTGTGTCCATGACAGCCATCACGAATCTGTCACAGTCCTCCTTGCCACCATGCAGGAGCATGACCTCAAAATGCTGTCACAGCTCAGACCACCACTAGTCGAGATCAGACTTGGCAGGTTAAGATATAACCCATCTTCCATTATGGCTCCAGGACAAAACAGGATGGGAAGGAGGGAAGAAGGCATAGAGCTACTTCACAACGGTAAAGTTAGTGGTTTAGCCAATTCTGAGCACTTATATCCAAAGTTGAAATTTGGAAAGGCGACTAGACGCTGCAATTTTGGGAAGGGGTGCCTAGGGAAGGAAGGGCGAGCAGGTCTGTCCCCAGCATGGCAGAACTGAAAGCCCTGACTCCAGACCACATCCTCTTAACTTCTCTGCAAAATTTACTACCTCTTAGAAGTTGCAAAGGAGTGCAGATCCCCTCCATGCCTTTGAATATACCCTTTGCTCTGCCTGGAATTCTTTTTTTTGTTTGTTTGTTTGTTTTTTAAGATTTTATTTATTTATTTGAGAGAGAGAGAATGAGAGAGAGCATGACAGGGAAGAGGGTCAGAGGGAGAAGCAGACTCCCCGCTGAGCAAGGAGCCCGATGCGGGACTCCAGGATCATGACCTGAGCCGAAGGCAGTCGCTTAACCAACTGAGCCACCCAGGCGCCCTCTGCCTGGAATTCTTAATTCCCTCTTTTTTCACTTGGCAGACTCCTACTTATCCTGCAAGACCCAGTTTAATGTCACATTCCCCTTGGAACCTTCCCAGCTCTCTCCCTCAAGATTAACCACTACCTTCACAATTCATGCTTGTTCGGCTGTCTCTCTCTTACTGGCCTGGGATCCTTCAGAGGGCAGAAGCTGTGTCTGATCCATCTTGATAGCTCCTGACCCTATCCCAGTGACTAGCATGTCACAAGACACTTGCTAAATGAATTCATGCATCTGGGTGACCCAAGGCACAATGAAAATGCTTCCAGGAGGGAAAGCTGTTTCTCCCATGAACTTTTTCTGGCTCCGCAGTTTTAGGGAGACTCACTGGTACAGCCTCCCATCACTGCTTGTGCTATGGGCAGTGGTTTGTTGGTTGATCGAGAATCTGCCATGGGCCAGGAGCCAGTGGGTCTTTAAAGCTGGGAATGAAGAACACAGAATCAAAGCCAGAGCTGGAGATAGCAGGAAGGAGTCAATGAAGGGACCAGGGTGGCCCCACGGGGATATTCAGGCTTAAGACCTACATTTAGGTCCACAGCATCATGTGGATGCTGTTTGGTGTGTTGCCAAAGGCCAAGAGGCACAAGCCCAGGGATAGCCTGCTCGGTAGCATAGAAATATGGCTGGATGCACCGCTAAACCACACCTCCCAGTCTCCCCTGCGGTTGGGTAGGCCATGTGACTCCATTCTGGCCAATCAAGACTGGGCAATGGGCCAAGGTAATGACCTCACTTGCGGGTCCATGCCTTAAGCATTTCCCCCACGAGCCTCTGCGTTCCCACTTTGCCCACTTGCTGGCTGAACAAGTGGGGAGAGTGGCCAGCCTCTGAGGACCTGGAGGGAGGGAGAGCAATCATATGGTACGGGCCCGAGATCCTGAGCTGGTGTGTAGAGGGGACCTACCCAGGAAAGCCACTCAATCAGGAACGCGCCCATGGACGGCGGTGTGAGCAAGAGTTACACCTTGACCATGGGAACCCATTACAATGTCGGGCTGCATGTCACAGTTGGCCTGGGCTGAGAGAGAAACCTCTTGGTATTATCAGAGCCTCCGGTCCCATCCCTCGGTCCTCACCCAAGTCAGCAGCAAGATGTTCGAGAAACAGCCGTGGCTGCTCAGGACGGCTCCCCTCCGTCCCCCAGACCCAGGACAGATGCTTCACTCACCAATGATGCCAAACGAGAAAAGTGTCAGCTGCTTCCCTAGCTTGTCCATGCTTTTTTGTAGTGGGGTTTTAGGCGTCTGAAAGGATGAGAACAATGGGTTTGGGAGAGGAGATCCCAGGAGCGCCCCTCAGCTTCTGCCTGGCTTCTTTATACCTTGAGTGGAGTGACAATTCCACAGCGGGGCACATATATACAAACTCACTGACCTCTACACTTGAGGGCTGTGCATGTTACTGTCTGTAACTTATATCTTGACAACAAAATCCTAATAAATGTTGTTCAATAAAAATAAAATTTTTAAAAGCGTGAAAAGCATGAACTCGTATTAACCACAGCATCCTCATTCCCAAGGAGTGGGCAGGGCTGGTATAGGTAGCTGAGAGGAATCTCAAACCCCAGCCCACCAAAAAACCAAAGCCACCACTGGCCCTTACCTCTTCAGCCTGCATCATCTTGAACACTTCTCCGAATTGGGACCTTTCCCCTGTTCCAATCACGACTCCCTGTGTTCAGGAGAGAGGAGTGTGAGGTGTGAAGCTGGAAGCCCGCTGGTGAGGGCGGCCAAGGTCCCTGGGGCTTACCTGCCCCTTCCCATACTGCACCAGGGTCCCCATGAAGACAATGTTGCTCAGAGTGGTGAGGTCCCCTCCACTTGTCAGCGGGCTGTCTGTCTTACTGCACGGCTCGGCTTCTCCTGTGAAGCTGGACTCGTCCACCAGGAGGTCCGTGACCTAGAAGGGGAAGAGACGATGGACTCTGCCCCTTCACCCTGAGAACGGATTTTAAAAGCACAGAATGGACCACCCTTCCCCTGTAAATCTTCTCAACTGGGCAAAGTCTCCTGTGCATAAGAGATCGTGCCCCTGACTGCCAAGAATGAAGTCTGACCATTGGGCATCTATATAGCAGGTATGCATCTCTAAGGAGAAAACATCCCTCTGCTAGGACCTAGAGTTGGGTTGTAAACTACTTTTTCCCTGGGTTACCTGTACTGACCTGGCAGGATATTCAGATGAAGTCTTTCCTGAACAAACTCCTAAGACTGTGTTGGCAGGGAGAAAAAATTAGATTCTTGGGGACCATCCCTGATACTAAGGGTCATTTCTAAAATCACAAACAAGAAGCCCCTGAGTTTGATATAGAATTCAGGAACTTCAGACATTTTTCTTAGGTGCATTAAAGAAAGCTTGTGTCTATGTTTACATTTGAACGTGATCTTTAGGTTCTGAGAAATCACTGTCATTTTGCCAATTTATCAAAATGACTGGTCTGGCATTGACCATGTCGAACAGAGGAGTGGCCTGGGAGATGCCTTTGGAGAGCAGCTGGGACTGCTGGTACCCAGGACAGATGTGCTTGCCTTTCCCGAACAGCTGTCTTCCAGAGACACTGGCTCTGATGTCTGGTTTGGAAAGTGAGCCAGACTGCCCTCCTCAACCTCGGCCATAAAGTTATAGCTGTTTTCATGAGGATGTTCTGCCACTAAGTAATCCAAATCACATTTTAGAATGTAACAAAGTTTTGTTTTTTTTTTAAATGTTGCCACAATTAAAAAAAAAAAAAGCAACCAGGAAAACATAGGACAGTATCTGGCCCCTTCATGCCATTTACCAACAGATAGCAAAGAACACATGGAAATCAGGGAACCAGGATCAGAACATGGCCTCAGATGCCTCGAGGAACTGAACAAGCTTTGAATGTGTAGCCCCTCTTGAAAAACATATCTTCTGTAACATTAGTTAAAATTTTAACGTAATGTTAGAAAAAACTTAGGCAATGGTTAATTTAGAATATACCTTTCAAAGCACGTGTGCTGTTCTCTGGACACTCCACGTCCTGCCCACGTCGGAGACCCCCACACAATCCCTGTGCTTTGAGCATCACTGAACCAGGTTGTTCAGTGACAGCCTAAGGTTACGTTAACACCAGAAACCACACACGGGCACAGCCCACACACACACCAGGAAAGGAGGAGGGAGGTGCTCCCATTTCCGGAACTCTTATGATGTGCTAGGTCTTGCACAAAGCACTTCACAAGGCCTCTTAGTCTCCACCCCCTCCAAGAAAGATGCTATTGGTTTCTCCATTTTACATATGGGAAAACGGAGGCATGAAGCAATTAAGTAACATGTTCAAGGTTATACAGCTGCTTCATGTCAGAGCAGAAGTGTGAACCAAGACTCTGGTTCCAGAAACTGCACTCTTAACAATCTTGCAAAACTAACACAGACCCAGTAGGTATCACTCAAGAGGTGAGTCCCCTGTAACCAGAACTGTGCCAGATACTATGGAAGACATAGAAGGGGTCCAGGGTGATCTCTGCCCCTCAGGACCTTGCTCTTTCAGCAAAGAAGACCAACTTAGAGAAACCCTCTTCCTACAAACTCCCAAGAGAACAGTTAGATCAGCACTATTCAAGCAGGGGCTGGGTGAGTTCTCTACACTCACAAATTTTAAAAACTCGTAAGCCCCTTTTACAAATACGCACACTGCCCTGGGATCCCAGGCCCCAAGGACGACAAAGGTTACTCACTGAATGTATAAATAACCATGCCCCCTCTTCCTAACAGAACCCCCACTGGGAACGGTATCGGGGTTGGGGGTGGCCATGTGCCCCCCCCCACAATATTACTTCCCAGCCTCCCATGCAACTCACAGTGTCTCTACCTTCTGGACGATGGGACATAAGGAGAAGTCACCAACAGTCCTGGGTAGGATCTGTGAAGGTGGCTGAGCTGACAGGCCCTGTTTACCCTTCCAGCTTCCTCCTTCTCCCTACCTGGGCCTTCATTATAGTAGCTCCAGAAGCCATGGTACAAGCATGGGAGGGCGGAATGAGGCGGCTGGGAGAAGCCCTGGCCCTTTGCTCCATGCTGGAGCCACCATATTGGCTCTGGACGCTCCAATTCCAGTCTCTCATTATTCGAGAGAGGAGTAAATCCCTGACCCAATGAAGCCTATATATTTCTCTTAACTCTATTAACCACAAAGACAACCACCAACTGATCTTGAGTTTGCGTTTTTTATCTCCAGGACTTCAAGGGCAAGTCAAAGGACTTCCTGGAGTAGCTCCTAACACAATGAAGGAAGAAATGGGGAGATGGAGTCACCCGGCACCACCGGCTGCCGACACCACAGACTGCAGGAAGCAGAAATCAGCACATCCCCATGGAAAGCAGGGATCTGGTTTCCAGAAAACACTGTCTAATGGGACATGTGATAATTTGAATCAGTTGTACTGTTTGGAAAATCTGGCTTAGGTTTACAGTTGCATAAAGTCTGAAGCACATGGCATCTGTACCTAAATTTATGTTTGTTCACATTTAAGTAACCCTATAACAAAAACAGTAAGTCAACAGTGGGAAGGGAACCCCTCTATTGACTGAATCTGAATCTGTATTATTACAATCTGATGTTCTTGTCAGGTCTGATCTGCAGCAGAAGGCTTGGGAATGGGGTTGGGGGGATGATCTGGAAGAGGAGAGTGCCTAGGGAACCGGGACTTGAAATGGGTCTTGAAGGATGACCAGACGTTCGGTGAGTGAATCAGGCAGAGAAGCAAAAGAAGGCAAGGTGGGGGACTGACGATGCCTGAACTTGGTAATAACATGCTTGGTCAAAGCAACTGAGAGGAGGGGGAGGCAAAGAGAAGACCTCTCTTACCCTAGTACCCCACCAGCATTGACAGGACAGCAGCCCCGTGTGCTGAGCATGGGCACCAATTCACCCTCTTTGGGGTACAGATTCTTGGGGGGTTTGGGGGGTGGGGGTGTGGGGGCTGCTGTCCCTGGTGAAGCCATGGCGGGATGGAGAGCTGTCCCTGCCCTTGAGCAGCACTGAATGGAGGGGGCACAGGCAAGAAGACAGGGGGCTTGGTCCCCGTGGAGCAGAGCACTTGTGGAAGGTGTGGCTGAACTCAACTGCATCTGGCATTGCTTAAGAAATTTGGATAGCACCGTATAAGTAATGAGGCACCAGGAAAAGTCTTGGGCAGAGAAGAGAGGTGAATGAGATCACAAAATCATGTTAGATGTTGGAAGAGGCAGCCGGCCGCAATGGGATGGGAAGCCTACGGTCCAAGAAATCCAAGTCAAGCGCGACAGCGGAAGGCTCTCGATGAGGGGTGGCGGGGGGCGTGGGCGGAAGAACCAGCCAGGAGGAACAAGAGAATTGGCAGTAAGTGGAACTAAGTAGGCACGTGGAAATAGGCAGAGGTAAGACTCAGAGCTTATTCTGGTCTGCAGAACATCTTTCAATTAAGCATATTTAATCCTGAATATATTTCATTAAAGTCCATTTGGGATTGGCAGGAATCTTATAGGTTGAGACTCGACCAACACCCCAACCTTCCAAACCAAGACATGAGCTTTAACCCTTCCTCAGGTTTATTCGTTCTGTTTTTAAATTCCAACACCTTGATTTTTTTTTTTTCCCCACCCAGTGACATGATTTTCGTTCTGACCTCCAGAACTGTAGGAGAATACATCTGTGTTGTCTTACACCACTCTGTATGTAGTCATTTGTTACAATAGCCATAGGAAACAGAGACGGGCGGAACCCAGCGGCAGAGGCAGGGAGCTGGAAAAAGTCAGAAAAAACAGCTGATCGCAGCAGGAAAGCACACAACGTGGGTGGTGACGGATGGGGGCTCTGCAGCCCCCAGACCTGAATTCAAAACCTCCTCCCCCACTTACGGCTGCATGACCTCAGGTCGGCTGCTCACTCTCTCCAGGCTTCTGTGTCCTTGTGCTCAAGTCAGAAAACTGAGTGGTGTTCCCTTAGGGTTGTTGGGAGATGGAGGGAGGGAGTTTCTACCCAGCGGGTTAGCACAGACCTGACTTCATAGACACACACATATACATACAGACATACATTAGTTCTCTGCAGGGAGGCAGGGAGTAAGAGGGAGTGTCTGGACCAAGAAGGAACAAAGCTGGTTGTGTGCGTGTGTATGTGTGTGTGTGCGTGCGTGCTTGTGAGTAGTTTCTGGTGACCTCCCAGGCACCATGTCAGCTGAGGGGGTGAGTGGCTGAAAGCAGTCAAAGCACAGAACCCACACGATACCAGTGGTCACCCAGAGGAGGCTGCACCTGAAGACAATTAAGAGCTCTGGTCACTTCCTGCTCATGTGCAGGCAAGACTTCTCCTGTCCCTCACACCCAGCCAGCCTCCCACCTCGGACACAAAGCATTACCTGGAGCCCTGACAGATCCCATTCAATACCCTTTTCATGCCAGAAATGGGAGAGGAAAAAGAAGGAGCAGTGTCCCTGCTCTACTGGCTGGTCCAGGTTAGCCTTCCCCCTAGGCCTTGACCTTGGTTAACTGTGGGAAGAGAAAAATGTTTTGTGACCCACTCCCCACAGGATGCAAAAAGCGCTAGTATTTGGGGGACTTATTTTAAGAACGTTCTTGAACCTGCTGTTTCCTGGACTTAAATAGCTTTACACTACATATAAAGCTCTCCTGGATCTCAGAATTTAATAGCTGACACAAATATCCCACTGTGAATAAACAAAGCTATTGATTGTTCAATGGAGTTGCAAAATGCCAAAAGGGAAATCTGTAGTGTTTGTGCCTGGTGGCAAGGAAGAAAGCATTCTGTGCTGTCAATAGCATTTAACAGAATAGAATAGAATTTAACATAAGCAAGTCAGGAAGAAAACTTGTTGAAACAGAGAGTTACCTGGGGGTTAAACGCTGTTTCAGGGACTGCTGGGGAGGCGGGGAAGAGAGCACAGTGAAGCAAGCCACTGCTGATACGCAGTGACCGGTCACCGCGTTGCAGGTCTTACCTCCTCAAGGTGGAACGAATGCTATCCCCTTTCATAGATGAGGAAACCAAGGCCCAGAGCGGCCAACCCTTCCCCAAAGTCATATACCGGGAGGTGCAGGGCAGGGGTGTGAAACCCAGGGCCCCCTGATTTCCAACACATGCCCGTCACTCACCCGTGTCAGGCACTGCTCGGAGCACTTCCCATCTCTGACGTCATGTAATGTCACCCTACAGGCACTGTCATCCCCCATCTTACAAATGGGGAAACCGGGGCACAGACAGGTTAAGTAACTCGCTCCAGGTCACCCAGCTTGTGAATGACAGGCCCTCGGTTCAAACTCGGGCCAACGATCCTACAGTTCCTGAAAACACATCCTCCGGAAAGAAATACATCGGGGAGATAACCTGCCTAATCCTTTATCACTGAGAACTTTCAACAACTCTTTAGTATTCTTGGAAGAATTCATAAAATAGATTTCCCCATCAACAGATGCCTCTGACCTGGACTTAACCTTTTCTCGGGAACCGGGGATTATCTCCGAGAGCCTCAGGGATTGTCTTGTAAACCGGTGACACCTGGACACCCACAAAGGTCAGGGAAACAGCTTGCCCCCCAACCCCGCCTGATGTCCCCAAACTACACAACTGTAAAAGCTTGGGCGACGAGTTACATCTTCATCGGTCTGCTTCCCTCCTTGTCATTCAGCAATCTGGTGTCTCCTCTTTCTGACATCATAGTAGCTGTTCCTAGAAGCAACTCTTGCCTCATCTCTCAGCCCCAGCCTGGCTTAATTTGCTACTGCAGCCTGCTGTAAACCAGAAACTCACGTCACCAAACTTTGTTAGGCTTTTACTGAAAATGGGAATAAATATTTTATGAAATACAATTTGAGGGGCTTTGTGTTTACAATGACCTTGCTTGCTAACTTCATGCCTTGCGTATGTGCATGTATGTGTGTCAGCACACGTGTGTGTGTGTGCGCGCGTGTGTAAGAGAGAATGCCTGCCTCAGATAAGCTAAGAGTCTGCGTATCGCCCAGACCAGGGTTCGGGACCCCTCACCTCAGTGAGACGGATGTCTGCAGGGATCCGGTCTCCGATCGAAAGAGACACAATGTCTCCGGGAACAAGGTCTCGTGCAAGCAGATGCTGGAGCTTTCCTTCTCTTATGCTGCATTTGAAATGGGAAAAGGCAAAAGCACGCCGATCACAACCCATTTTTGCACAGTTTAATAAACCTGAGCAAAGAATAGAGAATCACACTTTTTCAGTTATGGACAAACCCTTGTGCCTTTATGGTTTTATTATATTTTAAATTCACATACCCTGAAAGACTTTTGGAAAAGTGTGTGGCTTCTGGGAGACCCCGGGCCTCATCTGAAAAATGGGGTGACTACTGTTTACCCTGCCTGGAAACAAGGCGGAGCCGCATGGCCTCCAGAAGCTTCTGTAGGTGTAGGTCAGCGGCTCTAAAGCTTCCTTAATGGAGTCAATAGCTGGCAGCTACTGTCCTCAGAGAAGATAGCACTGTGGCAATGGAGAGCTGAGTAGCATGGAAGAGCCTCATCAGGGCTGGGGTTGGGGGAAAGCATCGGAAGTACCGGAGGAGCCTAGGACCTCCTTTCCCATCGGGCCACGACCCCTCCTCCCGGCTGTGCCGGGGACAATGCACGTGCTTCTGTGCACAGGCTCCAGCTACAGTCCCCCCTCCTCGGATGCTGCAGCCCCAGCTGGACTCCTGCCCCACCCCTGGCCCTCTTCGATTCGCCCCCTACCCAGTGGCCAGAGAGCTCTGAAAATGCAAAAATCAGGTCACAACTCTCTCCTGCTCCAAACCTCCAATGGCTTTCAATGACCTTGGACTCAAACCCAGAAGCCCTGCTCAGACCCCCTTGATTGGGACCTGCCTCCTCCCCCGTTCTTGCTGCTCCCCGTCAGGCCATCCAGCCTTTGAACACACCCAGCTCTTTCTAGTCTCAAGGTCTCGGCCAACCCTGGACATTGAAGAGGGCATTCCCATCTTCTTTGTTAACAGAACTGACTCTTGTTCAGACACCCACCCTTTCCCCCAGAGCCGTCTGTTCTAGGGAGGGGGTCCTGACCGACTGAGACCATCAGGGTGACCCCATCCCCTTCCCATGATTGGCTTAGGCACAGGCATGTTCCCTAACACTGGTTTTTGAGACATGAGTGGACATTTGCTGGGGGCTCGAGAGAAAGGTCTCTTCATTCTGTAGACACACACACACACACGACCCCTTCTTCTGCTGGAGCTTTCCATGTCTGCCTCTGACGCCAGGAGCTGTGGCAAGGGTCTTGAGAGCACGAGCGGAGCCAGCCAGAGAACAGAGCCAAGGAGCCGAGGATGGAAGAGTGAAGAAATCAGAGGACCTGGTCCTTGGTGCCTTCTCAAACTAACCAACCACACTGGGCCTCCCACCTCACACCCCTTGCCATGAGATGACACGATTTCTCTGCTTTGTGCGGCTGAGCTGTCCGTGTAGCCAAGAGCACCAATCAGAGATTCACCTGCTGTTCTCTCAGCTCTTCCCCTGGCTGTCTCCTGCTGTTCCTCCGGTCTCAACCTAAATGTCAGTTCCTCCCCAAACGTCAGATCAGGGCAGCCTGATCAGCAGCTCTTCAGAGCCATTCCCACTCTTCTACCGCGTGCTATGGCATCTCTGGGAGGTTTTTCTGAGGCTCCGGGTCTGGGGCCCCATTTTGGCTTTAATGTACCTGCTACAGTCCAAAGGCAACCTGCTCCTTCACTTTATTATCTGCCTCCCCTGGGAGGAGTGTGAGCGCTCCGAAGGCCCAAGTCCTCGCCTTCTGGTTCACCCGTGTAACCCCGGCACTATTGCTCCTGGCACACAGTAGGCGCTCACTAAAGATGCACTGAGGGCACAGAGGATGGAGGGAACCCAGGAGGGGCCTGTGTGGTAGGTGTTTCTTCTGGCTCGTACAACAGGCCTCAGCTGCCGAGGCGGAGGCTGTTCATCTTCGGTGCCCCACCCGCCTGCCTGCCACCACTGTCCTTGAACATAAAATCATCTTTTAGAAGTGACTTCCGGGAACATCAATAATGCATACTATTCACCTGAAAGGCCAAGATTTGATATTTAAACTTAAGATCAGATCCTCAAATCACATAAATCATTTACATTTCTGTTTGTTCGTATGATGATGTCACACATCCCACATCTGGATTTCGGACAGCCTTGTTCGTCTACTTATTAAGCCCAGACATTTTTAGTGTCCCCTGTGAACCTTCCAGAATTGACTCACCTTCTCTCATGCTTCCACAGCCTTTTTGTCTCTGTTATTCATCATTCTCTGCCTTGTATTACACACACACACACACACACACACGCCCCTCGCTTGCTGGCTCCTTGAGAGGTGGAACTCATCCCACTAGATCTTTCTATCCCCAGCCGTGGGGCACAGTTGTGCCATTTATATCCAAATATATGTGAAGGTTCAACCCAAACGTCACCTTTCAGGAAACAGAGTTGCCATATGTTTAAAAACCCTTCCGAAGGCCCTGGGGTCGTGAGATACTTTCAGTTACTGTCTTTTGAGCAACACGTGCATATCTGGGAAAGATGCACAGCCCCGACCTCAGCGGAGCTGGTCAGCGGAGGGGGCGCAGACCTGGACCTTTTCTGAAATCAGTCCATTTCTACGAGGAGAGTAAGCATGTGGATTACTGGCGTACTAGAAATTACATGGAGAAAAAGCCAGGCGCCAAACCCTTTCTCCTCCGTGTGGGGGGCCCCAGTCGCTGCTCTAAGCCTCCGCTGTGCACGACTGCAACCCCGAGCCCTCGCCGGCCAGTTACGCTAAGGGAGATGAAGAACTCACTTCCCCCGTCACCCCAGCCACAGCCGGGTCCTCAGGGGGCATATGTGAGTAATGGTGCCGCACTAGACAGCGCGGGTTACAGAACAACCCAGCAAGTTCTAGCACACAGCACTGCGGTTTGGTCCTTCCTTTCTCCTTTTTAAACATCTCTCTGGTGAGGGCTGTGTGATGGATAACAGGAGGCCCCGTGGAAATGACCAGGCAGGAAAGAGGCTGGTGGGGCTGCAGGGCACGTGGCCAGCTGGCGGTCACCCTTGGGCCATCTCGCCCCGCAGTCCAGCGGCCTGAAGCCTCGGCCCGTTCCAGCCCTGCATCACCAGCTCCTCTCATTCCCTCTTGGAGAATTTAATGCAACCTCTGAATGCTCTCTGCAGGAAAAATGGGCACAGCTTTGCCCACCATACCGCCCTCTTCCCCAAGCCATTCCCGCCGGCTGTGGCCCCAGCCCAGGCACCCTGATTAGACTCTGATGGGAGACTCGAGGCCCAGAGAGGTAGAATGACATGCCCAAGGACACACAGTAATCTGCTGGCAGGGCAGGCGCCAGGTCTCCCGACCCCCGGAAAGACATGGTCCTCTTCCATCACGCTACAAGGGACACAAACTTTGCCCAACTTTTGCCAAACTCACCAGCCCACCGGCTCCTCCGATGAACCAGAAAGTTCCAGGGAAACTCTGACTTACCAGTTACATTCGGGAGGAACCAGCTTGCTTAGCTCTTCTAGTGATTTCTCTGACCTGTATTCCTGGCAGGCAGCACATCGAACATGATAATCAAGGGTGAGAACTCCACACTGCCACACCCGGGTTACCCTGACCAAGACCACAGGAACTGATTACACACCTGGATGAAGGCGACAGTGACCACGATCATCACGGCCTAGGGAACAAACGAGGAGGCGTCAGCACCCAGCTGTCGGGTGAGTGAGTGAATGAGTCCATGGAAGGTGGGGGCACAGCACCTCCCCTTTCCAAATAAATTTCCTTTCTTCTTGCAAACCAAGCACAAAGAAATTTATAAAACAGATGAGCCCCCCCCCCCCTGAAAAGAGCAGAAAAATCATCTCAAATTCTGGCATCCAAAGGTTCACATTTTAGGGTACCCTTTCAGATTTTTCCACATAGACATACAACACAGGATCCTATGATACAGACACATTCTTTTACAAACAGCCTTTTCACACAACATATTATAAATATTGTTCCACGATATCAGAAGATATGGACGAAGCTTCAGCCTTTTAAACAGAGGAACATGGG